TTAGAGTGTCATACATTCTACCCCAGTACCCATGGATCATTCTCCAGGATAGACCACATGTTGAGTCACAAAGCAAGTCTAGATGAATTTTAAAAGATTGAAATCATACAAATTATTGTCTCTGACTACAAAGAAGTAAAGCTGGAAATATCGGGAAAAAAACTGGAAAATGCACAAACATATGGAAATTAAACGGCACACTGTTAAACTACCAATGGGTCAAGGAAGAAATCAAAAGAGAAACCACAGGTTTCTTAGAGTCAAATGAAAATGAAAGCACAACATACCAAAAATTACAGGATACAGTAGAGGCAGTTCTCAGAGGGAAACTTATGGAAATAAATGCCTACATGAAAAAAGAAAAAATCTCAAATCAACAGCCTAACTTGATAACTTGAAGAACTAGAAAGACAAGAGCAAACTAACCCTAAACCTTCCAGAAGAAAGGAAATAACAAGGATCAGAGCAGAAATAAAATCCCAAACAGAAAAACAATGGAGAATCAACAAAGCCAGAAGTTGGCTCTTTGAAAAATCAATAAAATTGACAAACTTTTAGCTAGACTGACAAAAGTAAAAAAAGATGCAAATAGCCAAAATGAGAAATAAGAGAGGAGACATTATAACTGACCTGACAGAAATAAAGAGAATTATGACAGAATATTATTAACTATATGGCTACAAACTGCATAAAACCAAACCTGTTGCCGTCGAGTTGATTCTGACTCATAGTGACCCTATAGAACAGAGTAGAACTGCCCTATAGGGTTTCCAAGGAGTGGCTGGTGGATTTGAACTGCTGACCTTTTGGTTAGCAGCTGTAGCTCTTAACCACTGCGCCACCAGGGCTCCATAACCTAGATGAAATGAGCAAAGTCTTTGAAGCCCACAACCTACCAAAACTGACATGAGAGGAAATAGAAAATCTCAACAGACCTATAATAAGTAAAGAGATTGAATCAGTGATCAAAAACCTCCTAACAACAACAGCAAAGTCCTGGACCAGATGACTTCACTGGGGAATTATACCAAGCATTTAAAGAAGAATTGACACCCAATCCTGTTAAAACTCTTCCAGAAGATAGAGAAGGAAGGAATACTCCCTAACTGATTCTATGAAACAAACACAACCCTGATACAAAAACAAGACACCACAAGAAAAAACTACAGGCCAATATCCCTTATGAATATAGATGTAAAAAATCCTCCATAAAACACCAGCAAACAGAATTCAACAGCATATTAAAAGCTAGGTCAGAGCTCACAAGTTTACAGTTAGAGATACTTCTCAGACATAACCAAACACCTTCAGAGATTGGTTTTCTGGGTTTGAAGGCTTAGGACCTTAGTCTCATGGGACAACTCAGTCAATTGGCATAATAGAGTTCACTACGTTCATGTTCTGCCTCCTGGTGAGGTGAGTTGAGTAGCATCTGGGGTCTTAAAAGGTTGCGAGCAGCCATCTAAGATACAACTGTTGGTCTCTACTCATCAGGAGCAAAAGAGAAAGAAGGAAACCATAGTCTCAGAGAAGAAACTAGTATACAGGGCTAGTAGCCTACATGAGCTGTGGCATCATCTAAACTGAGACCAGAAGAACTAGGTAGGTAGTGTCCAGTACCACTACCAACTGTGCTGATCAGGGCCACAACAGACAGACCCTGATAGAACAGGAAAAAAACGTGGAACAGCACTCAGATTCCCTGAGACTATCACCCTGAGATACTCCTTATACCTTGAACTGAAACTATCCCCTTGGTCACCTTTTAGCAAAATAAAGGATATTACCCATGAGTATGGTTCTCCATTAAAAAACCATCCAAATGAGACCAAAAGGTCAACAGTTTCTCTAAAGCAAAGAAGAGAAGTTAAGGGGCAGGGAAACCAGAGAACTGGAACTGGAAGGAGCAGAACACACTTAAAGAGAATGTTGACACATCATGAAAGATGTAACAAATGTCAGTGAATGGTTTGTGTAGAAATTGTTAAATGGGAACCTAAATTACTGTGTAAACTTTCACTGAAAACACAATAAAATATTATTAAAAAATAAATAAGTTTTGAAAAGGACACCATCCTTCAGATTGCCAAATAGGCAGACGTGAGCTGCAAGTTTGGGGAGTCCACGTGACACCACAACTTTCTGACCTGCTGGCCACAAATTTGGGGCTGCTTTCTCACTACCCCTTCAGGATGTCAACTGCAAGCTCAGCAATCCACGTGACATCCTTACTTTCTGACCTGCTGGCTCCCATCGTCTTTTGGGTTTGATAATTTGCTGGAACAACTCACAGGATTCACAGAGATTATACCGTATTTATGGCTACAGATATACTGTGATGGTTAAGGTTGTCTGTCCACTTGGCTGGGCCATGATTCTCAGTGGTTTAGCAGTTGTGATGTAGTTTGGCAGCTATGCAATGATGTGATCACCTACAGAATGAGATCTGATATAATGTAATCACCTCCATGATAAAATCTGCTATGAGCAGGCAGTCAGTTGAAAGGGAGTTTTTCTGGGGGTGTGGGCTGCATCCTATATATGTGGACTTTTTGGTGAAGCTCACTGGCTTTGCTTGCTCTGGATCCTGCAATTGACCTTCGGTTCTTGGAACTTGAGGTAACAGCTTACCTGCAGTCTTGGGATTCATCAGCCTCTGCAGCCTGTGAGCCAGTAGCCTGCCGTCTTACTTGCTGATCTTGGGATTCGTCATCCTTTGCAGCCTGTGAACCAGCGGCCTGCTGTCTTACCTGCTGATCTTGGGACTCATCAGCCCTGCAGCTACATGTCAGGAGAAGCCTCCAACCTGACCCACAGGTTTGGGACTTTACAGCCTCTACAACCGTGTGAGCCATTTCCTGGGTATAAGTCACCCTCTCTTTCTCGCTCTCTATATACACATGCTTCACTAGTTTTGCTTTTCTGGAGAACCCAGCCTAAGACAACATACTTGTGACTACAGATATAATCAAAAAGGATACAAAGGAAGAGACTCATAGGGTAAGGTCTGGGAGGGTTCCCAACATGGAGCTTCTATGTCCCAAGGGATGTGCTACCCTCTTGAGAGCAGATGTCCTCATCAGCCAGGAAGCTCTCTGAGCCTAGGTGTTCGAGACTTTTATCCACCAGTCCTGCATGATAGGCTAAATCATGCCTCCCGAGGCTAGTTGGTATCAACCTCCCAAGTGAGTCTTTTCTGGTCTAGCCAGCCCCAACTTGCCAGCACAAATTCTCAGGTATGGTCTGGAAGTCCTCAGTTATTTTAAGGGTTATTTCTCTGGAGCCAAAGACAAAGGCCACCTTTCTTAGGATGAAACTAGATTCTTTACTCCACAATAGGCCATACTTTCTTATTTCTTTGCATGCCTCATAATTTTTGTTGAAAACTGGACATTTTGATTATTATAATATGGTAACTGTGGGAATCAGATTCTTCCCTTTCCGCAAGGTTTTTCTTGCTATTTGTTAGTCGTTGTTTGTTTAGTGACTTGTCTATACTAATTTTTAAAATTCTATTTTTTGTGTGTGGCCACTGAAATCTCTGTCCCATTAGCTTGGTGGTGAGCTAGTGATTTAACAGAGATTTTCTTAAACTCCTGGAACCAAAAAAAGTCTCCAGTCTTTGCAGTTAATCTCTGTGTGTGTGTGTTGGTGCATGCCTTCCAGTCCTCAGCCAGGCAGTTTACAGCCCTGCTTTATCCTTCACTTCTGCTTGAGCAGAGCCTGGAGGTCATCCAGCAGTGATTACTTAGGACCTTCTGTTATTTTTTCAGCATGAGCCCAACCCTGGATATGTGTGTGGCCTTCTAAATTCCAAAGAATATGCAGGAGCCTTTCAAGGCCCTCCTCCCCTAAGTCATCTCATTTCTTAACCTTTCTTCACAGGTTTTGGTTCATCTATTATTTGTCCCAGTTGTTATCCCTGCCTCAGGTGACAGTGGCTAATACAGTTGCCTTTGAAGCCAACCCTGGCAGAGTTCCGAGTCAAAATAAAGGCAGACCCTTTCCGCTGGTCCTTTAGAGAGTGACCAGACAGGTCAAAACAAATAACCACAATATTTTGAACATAAGGTCCCTATTGCTCCCTCTGGCACTAGGAACCTGTACCAAGAATGCAGCCTTGTCTTCAGGGTTGCCACAGAGCTGGGGAGTAGGGAATGGTAGCAGGGTAGAGTTAAAACACCACAAAGTTCTCTGACCAAGACTCAGGTGTTTGTTTTGTTTTGTGATTAAGTGTTCCCCTAGTTGTTGTAAACTTTTGATTGAATTCTAGAGTTCCAAAAAAGTGGATTCTGACAGTTTTTGCCAGCTTATTCGTTGCTTTTGTGGTGGGACAGACTTTTGGAGTCCCCTACTCCACCATTTTCACTGACATCATCCATATCTTATGAGAATTACCTATTCTAGGTTTCCCCCCGCCCACTTTTCTTACTGTTGTGTTAGGGAAGATTCTAGATAATTTTGATATTTCTGCTCACTGAAGGAATCTTAGTGATCAAAACTGGCCAAAAAGGAGGTCAAAATTGTTGCTATAATGGAGTGTTTGACCTAAAAATGTTATTTAGGCATCCATCCCTGTTAAGTCTGGGTAATTGAGAATTTACCTGTTTTTCGCTGGCTTTTCTAGTTTCCTATAGGATACCTGGGAATTCTGTGAAATGCATTATATCTCAGAATGATTTTGTTGAATAGAAGTCAGTTTTAATTGTGTTTTCAAAGTCACCAAAAATTAGATATTTAAAAACAAAAAAAAATATGCTGATATTGTGGGAAGACTTCTAGATCTGCTGTCCACACTTCAGAGTGGGACTTTAGGACAAGTCACATTCCTTCCTAAGCCTCGTTCTGTCCAATAGGGACAATGTTTGCATCGACAGCTGTTACAAGAAGGAAGCGTATGTCAAAGAGATGAACAAAGCCAAGGGTGAGCATCATGAAATTCGTGTTTCCATTGTTAACCAGTCGGTACTTTTTCTCCCTTGCATCCCCCCACCACCTAGGATTTTGGAGGCTGCCCGATGTTCCCATTTGACTGATGCAGGCTTTACACTTCTAGCTCGGGTAAGGCATATATTAAATAAATGAATAAATAAAAACTGATTCACCTGCCTAATTCAAAGTGACTTGGAGTAGTTTTGGGGTGTGCAAAAAAACTATCTTCAGAAATGACAGGTGCCATGGCACAGTGGTTAAGAGCCTGGCTGCTAACTAAAAGGTTGGCAGTTCGAATCCACCAACCGCTCCTTGGAAACCCTATGGGGCAGTTCTACTCTGTCCTATAGGGTCGCTATTAGTTGAAATTCACTCAACAGCAACGAATTTGGTTTTCTTTTTTCGATTTATGTAGAAGAGAGCTCTCAGTGTGTGTTTTGTTTTTTCCAGTTGGTCAGAAATCTGAGGTCCTGTAGAGCCCGTAGAGGGTCCAGGCCTCATGCTCACTCGGACGGGTGTGAGCACCCTGAGAGGCGCCTCCTCTCTGGTGGGAGATGCCCAGTGTCCTTCCTCACATGGACCCCAGCCTGGCCCTCAGCCCCTTCCCTCTGCTGAGCTGGGCTTTGCCCTCTTGCTGCCTCCTACAGTACTGCCCTGCAAACACCAACCACTGTGGGCCCCTAGCTGCTCGGAAGCCCTGTCCTCCTCGGGGCCTTGACAACGTCTCCCACCCACCCACAGTGTGGCTGGACACCCCCTCCCAATGCTCCCTTCCAACATGGGCCTGGTTTCTTCACCCGTCCTACGGCTAACCTGGTGTTACATGCTGACAGGTGTGAGCCACCGGGAAGGTGTGGGCACCTTTCTGGGCTGAGCAAAGGGAATACAGCCCAGGGCAGCCACATTCTCATTTCCAGAGAAAATGTGACCCAAAGGGCACCCTGTGGCTCAGAAGTGCTGCTTCACAGGGTGGCTGCGGGAACACGACACACACCTTAACGGAAGAGAACAAGGACACTGGGCTAGGACTCGGGGACAGGGCAAGCTGGAGTGTCGCCCCACCCACCGACTGGCGTGGGGGGGTGGGGGCGGTCTCTTGGACTCTTTCAGAATTGCCGCGCCCTGGAGAAGATGGATCTTGAAGAATGCAGCCTGGTAAGTGGCTCCCTGACAGCCCTGCGGGGCGGCCCCGCACTCAGTGCCCGGATGGCCGAGCACAGCTAGTCTGACTCCTCAGGGCCCCAGTGTAGGTGGCAGGACATGGAAACCGTGAGGGCTGTGGCAGTGGGGGGTGGGAACTTCTGGCTATCCTGTCATCAGACAACTAGAGCAGAGAAGTTCGGGAGACCATCTTTTGCTAATTTTTTTTTTTTTAATGACTCATTTTTCATGGAACTTAAGGGAGAAATAAGCTTGTGTGTTTGGTGACAGAATGACTCCAGAGAGAAGATTCCTTCGAGGAGGGGGGCCCCCTCCTTGCCCACTCCTTTTTTGTCCCCTGTGGGGCACCAGAGGGGAGGCTGGAGAAGTTTTGCAGCTCCAGGACTGGGCCCATCTGAGGCCGCTGGTAAAGAGAGACGCTTCTGCCGAGCGTGCTTCAGATGCGTGTTTAATGACTTGATTCTCATGCTCAGATGCGCTTCTCCACCAAAGCCAGGACTGGTGCTCAGTTCTGGTTTGGAAACCACATTGACCCGGCACGTTTCTCTACAGATAACGGACAGCACGCTGACCCAGCTCTCCATCCACTGCCCTAAACTACAAGCCCTGGTGAGTCGGGGTCTTCTGTGATGTTAGTCACCCCTGAGGGATGACACGACCCTGTACCACAGCAACCTCTATAGGGATGACACGACCCTGTACCACAGCGACCTCTATAGGGATGAC